GAACTAAAGGACAAAGGCTGTAGAAGCAGCGGTGTGCTCCTCTGTCATTTTTCTCCTTAGTCAATGCTGTGCAGGGTGGAGGGGTGGGGTGGGAATGACTTTAAAGACATGAACGGCTGCAAGCTTCAGGAGCTTTGCTAGACTCTGATCAAGGCTCCTGATCAGAGTCAAGCTGAATAAGTAAGAGACTGCCAGCTATACCGTGGAGATGGAGTATAGCTGTCATCGCTGTGGAGAATAAGTAAAGACACTAAGAGGAAAGTAATGCAGAGCCAGAGACTTGAAAGTACTTTAAAAATGTAGAACAATATATTGACCTGATTATCTTCTAAATATGAAAAGTTGAAATTTAACATATCATTTCACATCTTGCCTCTCAGAGTAGAGTTCTTCTATAGTTTATCTTGCTTGGTGTGACGATTCCCTACAATTTAAGCATCAGTTAGAGTCACACCACTCTGAGGTTCTGCTTCCTGTGTTTTAATTCCACCATTCCACCCGTTTCATCAGGAAACATCAATGCCGTGTCAGAAACCGAGCTGGCAGTCACACTGAGCCAGACAAGAGCTGCTACACAACACAAGAGCTGCATTAGCATTGCAGCAAATGTTTCCTCCTTGTCTAATTTACAAATGCAAGCTTGTTGATTGAAAAGTGCACCGCGAAGATTAGGACAGACAGTAGATTAGATGCAGCAAATTAAAGTTGCAGCTTGGGGGAGGGGGGGCAGTTGAGCTTGTTAAGATTCTCTTCAGTTCTACATCATAATCTGGAGGCAGTGGAATAAGTTTCCATCAGTGATGCACAACACACACTTCCTATGCATGCATGTAAAAAATTAGGACACCCAATTAAATATTTAGGTCTTATGAAATAAATGCTCACATGTCTTGTTTTTATTTAACTCTGTAAAATAAAGTCATTTAATTGGGTAACCAAAATAAACTGTTAGATTCTAAGTGGAAAAAGTTAGGTGACACCACACTGCCTTATGGGTAGTGTGCTGTGATGATGATTTACTGGACAGTGGCTGCTTTCAAACTCTTTTGAGTCAGAATGGGCACTATAGAAAACAAATGATTGATAAGCTGCAAGAGCAGGAATATCTATGCATTGGAGTTCTAGGCTTTTACTCAACATAAATTTCATTTTCCTCCCTTTCTTACAATTTTAGGAAAAAACTACGTAGCCGGGATGAGATGTTTATTGACTACTATGGTAGTAACAGTATTTGCACAAATGAAAATATACCATTTAAATGATGTTTGTTGAACACATTTCTTAGAAAAAAAATTGTATCTTCAAACTGATTGGCTCAAAACATTGCAATAGACATGGATGCTGAAATTAAAGCAGGGGATATGAAACCATGAAAGAGCACCAAGTGTCACATGTGGCTGAACTTTGAACTTTACAAATGTCTGAAGAGGCCTTCAGAGGATGTTTTGCTCCTACAGGGAAACTTTTCCTCCAGGTGATGCTAGTGCTAAGGAAGTTACCAAAACTTCAACCCAGATGTCAAAGTTCATTCAACTGAACGTTTACAAGACAACCAACTAAATTAGCCTCAGAATTTATTCTTAAAAAGTAGCTTAGGGGGAGGTAGGTGCACTAAATGTTTTCAAAGTTAGCAAAAAATGCAATTTTTCTTCTGCCGTTAGTACATTAGTGGAAATAAGCCAACCACTGACAGATATTTAACGCAGAAGAAATTCTCAGTGTGCTGGTTGGAGTGTAAGGAAATGATAAAGATGCTTCACAACAGAGAAGACCCACATGCATACCTAAGAGAAGTTTGGAGTTGTCAGTTTTCTCAACATGCATGTGACATTTCTGTGCATGTAAGAAGAGAACATGCACAGTATGCAGAAGGGCTCGAACCAACATCCAAACCAAGTCCTTCTTGCTGCATGACACCAGTCCCGTGAAAGACTTCCATATTTACTCAACTTCTACATATATAACAAAGTGCTGCGGTTCAGGAAAATAATGAAAATAAAGTCTAGGTTAGCCAAATATCACTGTGGCATATACAATATTGGACACATTGGACAATAAACTAATTTGTACAAAACAAATTCCATGTGTCATATTGGCATAATAAGACAAATACTAATCATCTGGTTAGTCAATTTAGTTCATTTAATTATTTTAGATAAATATATTTTATGTACATTTTAAATCATATTATAAGAAATATGCATTTGAAAATATATAACAGCAACACAAAAATATGGGGATACTTTAGCTAATTCTGTTGGGTTACTTTCCACCTACTCATATATTGTTATTTTTCTTCTTTTGTACAGTTCATGAAATTACATACTGTAGCTAAGTTAAAAACTCCAAAGATCCTGATTACATTCCAATAAAAATATGGAGTGAGGAATCAGTTGGGTCTGGTGACGGATGCGATTCCTGATTGTTGTTGCTTTAATAATCTGGAGCCAGAACATTTTTTGTGGTTTTAAAGAATAATATAATAATACCTGCTAGTGAGGACTTAAAAATATTAAGTTAAGTAGAATACAAAACATGTTCCTGTCAAAATGTTTCTGTAAATGTATGTTTTCAAAGCGCTGAATGTCTTAACAATTAACAGTTATTTTAAAAGAAACTAGTCTCACTCTATCAGTAGTAAAGGTTTTTAAAATACATGACTACAAAGTTGGCATGTCATGTCTGTATATTAAACAAACTTATTGCTATGATTGCTTAACATAGTTATTTAAGGTCTATTAGTATTCATTAGGACATTTGGGGATACTTTACATAATACTGACTGAAACATTTTAATTTTGTTTTCTGACATTTCCTAGGGAAATAAAATGACTTTCTATTGTCATAGAAAGTCATAGAAAGTCGAGCTGCTTCTGCCTTGTGAGTCAGAAGCAGCTCGTCACGTAACCATGGAGACCACGGTAGGTTAGACCAATTCGTTTCATGGGGACTCGATGCAGCCTTTGAGGTCTTTGGAGGATGCTGCCTGTTCTGGTTGCCTTGAAGGCCACGGCTGCTGAATGACCCAGCAGCTTTTAACTCCCACACTTTCACTTAAGAGGAAATGAAATCAAAAAGGGAATCGATGTTACTGGGTCTATAAAGGATACTTGAAGTTGTCTCCCAAACAAGTTTTCTATTGCTTAATCGCAACTACAGCTAAAGCTAAAATATAAAGTAAGCATGGAAACCTTTAGTAAGTATGACAAACTTTTCATGTCAAGTTCTCACCATATTTGCAAAAAAAAAGCAACATACAAGTATGTCTGTGTTACTGTGGCAACATCCATCCATCCATCCATTTTCTGAACACCCTTGTCCCTCAGTGGGGTCGGGAGGGGTGCTGGTGCCTATCTCCAGCTAACATTCTGGGCGAGAGGCGGGGTACACCCTGGACAGGTCGCCAGTCTGTCGCAGACTGTGGCAACAGTGTACTCATTTTTATTTCAATTATGTTTTTACTCTTCTCTTCTACATAAATTCAAGCAGCTTAGCAACACAAAAAATTATACAATAACACCAATAACAAAACAATAAGTTTATTCTACGTTAATTTTCTCTGCCAGTTCACAGTTTCCAACAGGTCGTGATACCATGTCACTAGTGGAGTAAAATAAGCTGTTGGGGCGGCTGCTTGGCTGGGGCAAGTTAGTATGCACATCCTTTCCTTGACGTTGATACCAATCTCGTCTTCAGTCTATAATTCTTTAAAATTTTCTTCTGCCCAAAATGCTATCTGGTAGCTCTTCCACCAGGCATCATTCAAACAAGATGAATTAGCGAACATGTTCACAATTCTCAGGTTCTCTCACCGAATCAAGATGTTTGAATCGCTCTTAGTGTGACCCCCTCCTCTGAAGCCAGTTTGCCATGGAAGACCCCAACAACAGTCAAAGCTCCAGACAACTTAGACCTCAGGATCATGGGGGTAACTCAAACCCCTCCACCACATTAAGGTGGCGATTCTGCGAAGGGGAGGAAACCAGCAGATTGCATCAAAACTTTATATCAATGCAATCCCCCATCCTGAGCAAGCACGGGGTGACAGTGGAGAGGAAACACTCCCCTTTCAAAGGAATAGACCTCTAGCAGAACCAGGCTCAGGATGGACGGACGTCTGCCTCGACCGGCTGGGGTTGGAGAGGACAGGAAAGAGAGACAGACAAACATACACACACTCGTACACACACCCTGGGTTGGGGAAGATCTGGAAAAAACACAGAGAGAAGAACTTTGATTAGGGAGATGAACTATGGACACATTAGAAACAAAACAAATTACATACATACATTTTTGTATTAGTACAAATTTACAGACACATTTATAGACAGAGACACAACGAAACAGCTTGCTTAATATACTGATATATACATAAAAAATATATATGTGTTTATGCATGTGTGAATGTGTCTGCTTGCATTGTGAACGGAGGTCAAGGTCTGGCGGTAAGAATTCCTAATGAACCTAACCAGATGTCTCTAGGACTGTGGGAGTAAACCTCAGTACCCAGGGAAAAACGGAACTAACTTCACCTAACCTAGCATGGATGCTTTTAGGGAGTAGAAAATAAACCGGAGTACCCGGAGAAAACCGACAAATCTCCAATAAACTGTATAGCTGTTGTGTTGTCTAGAGGAGAAAACTGGAGCATCCAAATGAAACATAAAAATAACAATAATTCTAAAATGGATGGTTTCTAGAGTAGGGGACAGAACTTAAGGACCCAGAAAACACCCACAAATATTGATGTTTTTTCATAAAATGCCTCAAGATGATCTTTGTTTTGATTTGGCACTATGTAAAATAACTAATTGAACTGAATCTTTATCTATTCCATCCATTTTCTTCCGCTTATCCATGGTCGGGTCACGGGGTAGCAGTCTAAGTAAGAAGGCCCAGACTTCCATCTCCTCTCCCCCCTTGAGCTCACTCCTCTGGAGGAATCCCAGAGGAGCGTTCCCAGGACAGCCGCAAACCATAGACCCTGAAGGATATCCTTGGTCCCAATGGAAGGTACCTGGAACACCTCACCAGGAGGCATCCAGGACACATGCTGACTAAATGCCCAAGTCACCTCAACTGGCTCCTCTCAACAAGGAAAGGTAGCAGCTCAACGCTGATTCCCTTCTGGATGACTGAGCTTCAATCTCTAAGGGAGAGCCCAGATACCCTGCGAAGGAAACTAATTTCAGCCGCTTGTATACACCTCTCAACCTAACACCAGTTCAGGCTCCTTCCCCACCAGAGAAGTGACATTCCACGTTGTAAAGCCAGCTTCTATAGCTGAGGATCAGACCGTCGAGGTCCCCCGCCTTCAGCCACCACCCATACTGCATTGCACCTGACCCTTTTAGAATCTTTAATGAACCTAAAATGGATGTTGTTTTGAGTAGGTTAGGAACTGCAGCACCCGAAGAAAATGAACTGCCAAATTAACCGACTTGTGTCATTTAACCCTAACCCCAATCCTTTATAGTTTAATAGTGCCCTACAGCTCAGCCTAAACTAGATTAAACTAACAAAAAAATTTAAGGTTGCAATGGTGTGTGTGTGTGTGTGTATGCGTGTGTGTGTGTGTGTGTGTGTGCGTGTGCATGTGTGTATAGTCTACGAAAGCCACGGGTGGCACAGCAGCTCTTCCAAGGTGGGACGGTCCTCGGGGTCACCTATCAGACACTTTGACAGAAAATCCATGCAGTCTGGAAGGTTAGAGGTTAAACAGCAACAATGAACAGAGCCAACGGAACAAAACAGAATGACAGAGAACATATGTACTGTAAGATATATGGACAAGTGTTTGTCTTACCGTCAGAAAGCCAATGCCAGATTGTCAAGTTGTTTGAGATGTAGGTGTTAATGTTGAACCGCGTCATGTGGAGCATCTCGAACAGAACAACGCCCAGCTGCCACACTGTTGTAGGTCCAGCCCTGTAGGTACTGTTAACCATCCAGTCCAGTGGGATGTGACCAGGAGTACCTTGAAGATGTGTAAGAATAAGATCATAAAGATGAAAACGATTTTTTAAAAACAGCATTAATAAATGAGAATGGAGTGAGTTCTACGGTTCAGTCGTACCACAGAGTAGTTCATGTTGTTTCCTGTCATCAAAGCAGCTTAAGCCGAAGTCTATGAGATATATTTGTTTGTCTTCTGAGCTGCTGTCAATCAGGACATTGTCCACTTTTAGGTCTCTGTGGAAGATGTTTGCATTCTGAAGGTAAACAGCAGCTTCCACCAGCTGTTTTATTATGACCTAAGGTGCGAAGATAATATGACAGGGAGAAACTACCCATATTTAAATTCAGTATGAAAAAGCAACAATGAAAGCAGTACATATAACATTTCAAAAACACAACAAAAGTCCATCCAGCAGCTTACCTTCAATCAATCAATCAATCAATCAATCAATCAATCAATCAATCAATCAATCAATCAATCAATCAAATGTTATTTGTATAGCATATTTCAGCATCAAAACATTTCAAAGTGCATCATAAAAACACAAAAACGCAAAGTCATGTAACATAGAATCAACAATTGAAGCATTACATTGAGTCAAGTGGCATAGTTAAATTCTTAATTGATTATGCTTCAAAGGCAACTCAAAAACAGGCGGGTTTTTAATATAAATTTAAAGGCACTTTGTGTTTCAGCAGTTTTCTGGAAGTTCTGGACCTCTCTTACATTGAATAAGTGAGGTACCCCAATATTGAGCTTTGGGGTACCTCCGGCCCAATGCTCTAGTCGTTTTAGTAATATGTCATGATCAACAGTGTCAAAAGCTGCACTGTGATGTGATCAGATATCAGTGCACTTCTTCCACAATCTATATTCATATGGATGTCATTGAACACTTTGAATAGGCCAGTCTAAGTGCTGTGGTGGGCCCGGAAACCAGACTGAAAGACATCAAAGTGCTTTGTTATCAATAGGAAACTATTCAATTGTTTAAAAACACCTTTTTCAATAACTTTGCTGATGAATAAGAGGCTGGAGATCAGCCTGTAATTCTACAGTAGTGATTTGTCCAATTGTTTTATCAGTGGTTTTATAACTGCTGTTTTTATCCCTTGTGTGTGTGAGGACTGAGGCAAACGTAGACGACTGTGGCAAACGATTCAAGTTTTACGTGTGTGGGGTCAGTTGGACCCCATTTCTAAACACAAGGGTTAAAGCCTGGGGGAAAACTCCTGATGGAAGTGATGAGTTTACTATTTGAATCAGATTATTTTTACTGAAAGGCAGGACTTTTTTAAAGAAATGTGTGGATAGGATATCAGGACAGGAGGAACTTGAGCTTAATTGATTAATAATTTCTTCTAGGGTTTTATAATTAAGTATTTGAAATTGGGTAATTTTTCCTGCATTATTACTATGCTTGAGTATAGTACTGGTACCTTGGCCTCACTCTCCTCTATGAAATTTCCACGCTCATTAAGATAGAGCAAGAGGTCCTCTGCGAACATGGGCCTCTCCATGACCAAAATCAGCTCCTGATCCAGATCATACCAGTCTAACAGGGACAAGATGGCTGAATGCGGGACTGTTTCATTTGCAAGTTTTAACATGATGACCAACTCCATGGGCAGCTCGCTGCCGCTCTCATCCTGAAACATCCAAACAAACAGGAGAAACCCACAATGCATCTGGAATCCACTAAGAAAAAAAAAAAAACTGTGCTAGATTCTACTGCTCACTTACCTTATGTTTGATGACTACTTTGTCTTTTGGTATGTGTTTGATAGCCACCTATAAGATAGCAACAAGACTATATATATATATATATATATATATATATATATATATCAGTCATACTTTCCCTACCGGAAGTCAGTAGGAGTCAGATTTTGTTGAGAACAGCTGAAATCCTCAGATTGTTGGAAGACTAACAGATAGTCAGATTGAATCTCTCTTTTAGTTGATTTTAGCTCAAAACCATTCAAACTGAAACATCTTCTGAGTGTTTCTGAAAACGCTCAAAAAATGTTTCTGAGCGTTTTCAGGTTTCACAGTTGATTGAAAAATTTTCTGCTTAACTTCCGACCAACATCTACATACAGTCTGATACAGACATTGTAAAGCTGAGAACACTGCCACAAACTCTGTCTGAGGCATTTACCGCTCACTGTACAAAGTCTGGCACCGCCTACTGATAACTACGTGTAGGAGAACTACATCTGATTTTAACTTTGTATGCAGATGATAAAAAAAATGTAAAAATTACTGTGTGGATTTCTAAATTGAATTGTGTGTGTCTGTGTCAGAGATTGTAATACTTACAGGTAATTTACCCTCTAACCGATAGCCAGCAAAGACAGACCCGAAGCCTCCGTCTCCCAGCAGATGCAGCTCAACGTATTTTTGCAGGAATGCAGCTAAACACATGAACACATTTGAAATTCACAAAGCGTCAGAATTGAAGCTTGGATCTAATTATCACCACATCTTATTTCTATCCCATAATAAATGGTTATGCTACAAATCTACTACTACATAAACTCCAACCTCTTTGGGAATCGTCTTGTTCTTCTTCCATCACCATCTTCATCCTCCTCCTGGTTGGTGGTTCCTCCAAGTCCTCCATCTTCCTTTTCGGATTCCTCTTTCTGATCCCTGTAATGTCAAACATATTATGTTTGATATACAAGTTTCTCAGACCTGTACATTTTCAGTGTGTTTCCTATCCCAGAAAAACCTGATGTATATAACCAAATGCGTACAGTTAACAAATGAACCATCATAGATCAGTAATTTCTCCTAAAACAGACCTTCAATTAAAGCTATGCTATGCAATTTTTGACCCATTTTGAGAAGATTTTCCACCCTTTGGAGAAGTTTTGGGACCAGGTCTTGTTTCAACTTTATCAGATGCTGTACATCATGTTACACAAGGTAACGGAGTAAAGTTTGAGACCCATGTTCGAAAGCCTCTGTATACTACGTGGCTGTCAAATGGTTTGACTCCCGGCTCATTAACCTTTCTCTTTTGATGTAGTCAGAAGATTCAACAAGTAATCCAGATCAAAAATAAAATTTTCTGATATGTATTTCATAGTTAAGCCTTTACAGGGTTAAATCTCAAGTCCTCTTCTGTAAAGTGCCAGACTGAGCTGTAGGAATTACCCAAAGAAACAACATGAATATATTAACATTCAGTTGCCTTAAGAAAAAAACATCCTGATGTAAAGATTCAACTTAGTGGCTTATAAATATTTTTACAGAGCATTTTCTGTCCCTAATTTCAGTGTAATTTATAGGAATTCAAGTGATGCAACCTAGTGATAACACATAAAATACAAATGACATTTGGTAGTGTAATGTAAAAATGTGAGATTTATGAATACTTTTGCAAAGTATTGTTTCTCCTTTGTGTTATTTTCCGTCCCTTTAACTGTAATATGCTATTGTTAAGCAGCATCTTAATGCAAACTGTGAGTTTGCATTAAGTGAGTGCAAACTAACAATGGTTTCACCAAAGCAGCCAACCTGCACTGACGTCTGTTGAGCAGCAAGACTCTTTGCTCTGGTCCTGCTCCTGTTCCATTTTCTTCCTCTTGGCCTTCGGTGAACGTTCCTCTGCTTCTTCTTTCATTTTTCTCTCCACCATCCTCCTCGTCCTCATCTGTTCCTGGCAGCTTGAAGAGGATCCAGCCATGTCAGAGACCCTCCGCCTTTTTCTGGGGGTCTCAATTTCAGATATTTTCCTTTTCTTTGGTCTGCTGTTGTTCTCTAAAGTGTAAAGTGTATTATTATTTTTGCAATTTATCAAATATTAAGTATTTCTAGATAGGAGTGGCCACTTCTATCATTTATCGTGATATATTTCATATAATGATACGAAATATATCACAAAATATATTCTGATTTTTCACTGTCATGATAAATTTTAATTGATGTTTAATTCTGTGTGCAGTTTAGCATTAAAAATCACCCGACTTTATGCGACTGGTGCCCCAAAGAAGCGCATTATAAGTGGGATGGTTTTTAAAGAGCAGTGTTTGTGGGTCTATAATTGCTGTGACACATTAGCTGTGTTCATGTTACATAAGTGCAGAAAACTTTAAATTTCACACTTGTGGTATTTATGTTGAATAGGAAACACAAATCAAATCAAATCATGTGTGAATAAGTTTAATACAAAAGTCATTAAAAAACATGCAGTGCCATTATCCTGAAACTACTTCCTGCCACCGTCTTCTTTGTGGTTTGCGCCAGTGGCAACATCCTGCTGTTGATCATGTGACTAGTGAGATGCGAAAAAAGTGTTTCCATTGCAGTTTTGCAAAATAAATGATATGGGAGTTTTTTCTAAACTGGTGTGTTTCCATGAAGCAAATGTACTTTCAAAATGTCAAATTGCACAATTATGTGGTGAATGGAAACATTGCTAATGTCACAGTCATACAGTTACCTAAAAAGTAAGAAATAAATATATATTATCACCACTTTTATCATTATTGGAATAGTATGGCACAATGTTGTGTTAAACAATAAGTCCACATCACCCTCCCCTATCTCTACATCACCTCAGAGGCTGATGTGTGATCATAGACTTTATTACACAAACTGTTCCACTTTTAACTCATGTTCACCAAAACACATGGTTCTGGGTGAAACTATCACAGACTCACACATCTCAAAGTTCCCAACAACAGACAAGACAGTAACAGAAATTCTTAATGATAAAAACTCTAAATCTCTAAATTATATTAATCAGTACCTAAATGAACAAACTTTTAAACCTATGCTTATCTTTATCAAGATATGCACCATATGTTGATAATCTAATGAACTCTTTTACCTCGTTGTCTCATGAGGGCTGGCATTTTTTCATTCCTTTTATGTTCTTTGAACATCTTTTTTTCCAGTAGATTTCAGCATCAATTACTTCACCTACAAGTGTTGGCAGTTTTGTCTCTCGTAGTTATGTCTCACTCTATCAGAGATTTCTGACGAACTGAACTCAAATAGAATGTTGGGTTTTTCTTTTGTGTCTCCTCGCAACCAGTGTGACATCAAAAATAACATTCCAAAATTTGGTCATAAATGTCAGAATAGAGGTGATGTTGCTTAGCAGCCCTCTGGCTTAAGCCTAACATGCAGAACACAGAAAAAGCCCCACAATCAAACTTTTTAGAGCAATGAATCCCTGCAGAGCCCTCTAGGGGACATAGGATTTGTTTTTCTTTTGTGTCTCCTCGCAAAACTTTTTGCGTTCCCTCGCAATACTGTACTGATCAGTTCATGCGGCATAATTGAATACTGTAAGCCTTTCTTACAGTGGCCACTGTACTTTCTGCTTTAATATAAGGTTATGTAAGGTTTTCCCAGGTTAATATCTCGTTGTGAAATATCTGAAGTTTTATATAGTTTTCTTTAGGATAGAAATGCACCACAAACCTATGATATAAACAGAAACTTCCCATAAGTAGGAAAGAAATAAAAATACATCTAAACTATTTGGACTATTTCTAAGTTATTATTGGGGGTAATGAGTCATCTGGCAGTTTGATTGTGTCTCTATTGTGCTGGTAGCCTGAAGGGTTTAACCCTTGTGTCTAGAAATGGGGTCCAACCGACCCCACATATGTAAAACTTGTATCATTTGCCTCAGTCCTCTACATTTGCCTCAGTCCTCTACATTTGCCTCAGTCCTCTACATTTGCCTCAGTCATTTGCCTCAGTCCTCTACATTTGCCTCAGTCCTCACACACACAAGGGTTAAAGGGCCGTTTTCATGTGCAGTTCCATCTCAACCTTACACAGACATAAACATGTAGTGAATAAATCAAGTTTCAATCAGTTTTTTTTGCAGAAGAGTTAATAATTGACACATTTTCACTCAGGCTCTGTAAGAGTCATATGAATGCAATAAGTAATTATTGATATTGTAAGATGATTTATTTTTCCTGTTCAATTAATATGGTTACATACAAGATCAGTTATTTACTAAAGATGATGCATAGCTAAGGAATTGTGCTGTGCCTTTAAGAGGAGCTGTTTCTTTCTTCTTCGTGGGTTTTTTTCTTAGGAGGGCTGGAGGTGGGTTCTGTTCTGTTAACAGAACCCACAGGTTGAATAAAAGTCTGGACAGCTGCGCTATTCCCTCTCAGTATTAATTTTGTTGTTATCTATCTTCCGAGTTGGGTAGTAGTGGCTAAGTTTACTTGATTAACTGTAACCAAGTAAATATACTTGGTTACAGTAAATACTTGTGACACTGTACTTTTTACTTGTAGTAGTAGTAGTAGTAATAGTAATTATGAACTATTGCTACTTATACACTTGGGTAGATTGATTTTTCATAAATAAATAGACTTCAGTGATTCTTAGACGTCTGCAACATATGAGTTGGTACTGAAGTAAAATGCCACTTCATATAGTGCAATTTTTGTTTTTTAAGATCCTCAGAGTTCTTTGCCATGAGGTGCCATGTTGAAACTTACAGTGACAAATATGAGACAGTGTGAGAGCTGTACTAGAAAACTGAACACACACCTGGTCCTTATGCACACCTTTGACCTAGTAACACTAACTAGTCACATGACATTTTGGAGGGAAAATGACAAGCAGTGCTCAATTTGGACATTTAGGGTGTAGTCTCTTAGGGGTGTATTCACATTGGTTGCTGGTTGTTTAGAAATGAATGTCTGTATATTGACTTATTTTGAGGGAAGAATTAATATACAATGTTATATAAGCTGCACAAAGACTAATTTTCATTGTGTCAAAGTGTCATTTTGTCAGTGTTATCCCATGCAAACATATACCGGTACTTAAATATCTGCAGAAATGTGAGGGGTGTGCTCACTTTATTTGAAAGTTATACACTTGTTTATGTATTTATATGAAATAAAATGTCAATTGGTCCACTTTATGGCAATCCTAACAGTACAATTTAACATTTGGGCAAGTTTAAATCTTGACCAGCTTTAACACATGAAATAAACAGCACATTAAACCATATTTAAGGCAGGATGAAAAGGACAGATTTGGTGGACAGACGATCTTTCTCTGACTTTTGCTCGTTGTAGCTGTCCTCCTGTCAGTCTATTGGAAATGGACAAAACAGATACAGAGAGATAAAGGCAGAGAAAAAGGAAGACAGGGAGAGCGACAGAGAGGGAGAGAATGTTTTAGCAAAGAATACATAGAGAGAACTGACTGTGTGTAAATGTGTAATCCTACCATTTTAGAAGTTCCATTGGTAGTCCATGAACTTGCAGAGGAGAATGGAGACATGTGGGCTCACTGTTGTCTTCTCTTTTTGCACAAGTCGTCCTGTATTTTTTTTATGTCACTTTGCAGTTTGTAGCTTTTGTTCCCCTTTCTGGGTTAAGGCCTATGAATCGCCTAAAAACAGATGGGATACAATTCAAAACTACCCTTCTGTTTCTTAAGAAATGTAGATTAGATGCTGGTGAACTACCAAGTATGTTTAGCAAAGGCATTAATAAAATAGTTCTCTCCTTTGGAAAAAAACTCCAGCGTGAACATTGTGTCATCTTCCATTTTTACACAGAATGTTAAGATTACATGAAAACACAGAAGCTGACAAAAAACACTTCTTCTGTTCAGCCTGGAACAAACCATTTCACCCTTGATGCTGTCTCCTAAAAATGTAACAGCATTCAGTGATATTTTTCATTTTAACTTAATGCTCAGTTAAGTAAGTAAATGTGTGTAGTCTTCCAGTTCTCACCAGAAACTTACCCCACCACACATGCATGCAAGTAGTAGCAAACTTGTTCAAGTACCAACAGATAGATTAGATATATTTTATTTTCTAGTTCTGGGGTGCCCCACCCCTTTCTGATACCACCCTGGGCAACTGCCCATAAAGCCCATATTAAAAACTGCCACTGTACAGGCCCTGTGGCATGGGCGGGCATTGTCTGCCCACAGAGTCAGACATGTCACCCCCTCCTGGACTGGAAGTTGCTAGTCCATATTTTCATCCTCTGAACTTGAGGGATGTTTTTTTGTGAAAAAGTCAGTAGACCAGCAGTTTCTGAAATACTTCAGTTTGGCAGAAACAACCATGCCACATTTAAAGTCACGTCAATCCTTTTTTTCCCCCCCATTCTGATGCTCGGTTTGAACACTATTGAGTCCTCATCATCTTGTCTATAGGCCTATCTGAGTGGAGTCACTGCCAAGATGCTGTTTGTATTGAAAGTGATTGAAAAAGTGTACACAATGAAGTGGCTAGTGAGTGTATTTATACCCTTGAATAGATTTTGTGGCTCTATCAGCTCCCCAATCAGTTGCAATACTTACATTTGGTAAAAGCTCCAACCAGTGTTCGAATTCTCTTACGTTCCTGTCTCCCACAGTAAGCTTCACTTGTTCTTGCATTTAACTGCCTCATAGCAATTTGCAATGCACAGGCAAAACAGTATCATTTTTGGAGACATGTCCTGTGGTCTGATGAAACTCAGGAGGAGCCAGAACTCCAGCAGATTATTGTGAATTTGTGGAAGGAAACCTAAAATGTCGAACCAAGTCATACAGTTCAGAAGCTGCATTTCCATTACAAATGTGTGCATATCTTTGTCTATATTCCGCTAATGTTGAAAAACACAATTCCGCAATTGCTGTGTTTCCATTAACTAAAAAAGTAAATTAAGATCAACATAAATAAACTTGTTTATATGATAAGTCACTATCAATCATGGCAACATCGGATGTAAACAGTTACATGAGATATAGTTATAATTCAGCCATGGCGCTAGCGCTCATCATCTATCAGTCATCAGAGGCGTTGACTGATTTAGGCGTTGGAGCGACAAACCCGACCTACTTGGGAGCTGCTATTATGTGGCATTTTGGAGAACTTGTACTCTGTGACTTTAAGAGCTATGGATTCAAAATGTTGGAATGACCCAAAACTTTATGACCTGTGATGCTGTGAGAGCTGTTTTTTTTTTTTTTGTTTTTTTTAAACAATCAAAAAACAAGTCATCATCGTCCTACCCATAGACATAATATAAGCATAGACGCCTCATGGACCGCTCCGGCACAGGAAATACGGCGGCCATCTTGGAGCGGTATACCCTCCTACTTTGCTCAATCAAAACAACAATATCCCTCAGTGCT